AAAGTGCTGGGATTACATGAACCACCACACCCAACCTCTCCACTTTAAAGAAATTCACCCATATTTTCTTATATTATTTTCACACTTTCATTATTACCTTAAGATTTCAAATACATTTGATTGGTGAGGGGTATAAAGAACCAGACTTCTTACTCCAACTTGTAGCAAATACAAAGGACCATCCCAGGCTCAGATCTTCCCATAGGGTCTTCAGAGGACTTTGCTGAGACTGCAGTGAAGTCTAACTGATTATATAAAGAAATCCAATTTCATATGTTTCCATGGTTGTATCAGCATCATTTATTAAACAGTCCCTATTGCCCCACTGATCTGAGATCACATATTACATTTCCATATGTTCTAAGGTCTATTTCTGGATTTCTTACCCTGCTGCATTTATCTGTTTATATGCCCAAACCATAGTTTTAATTATAGAGGTTTTAGAACATGTTTTAATGATATCTCTTAGGGTTAACCCTCCTCTCAGCTGTTTCTATGTTTAGTGTATTTCTGGTTATTCTCATTTGTCTTTTCTTCCATATTAACTTTATAATCAACATATCTAGTTCTGTAAAACCTCTGATGTTGATTTTACTTGTTGCTATGGTTTGACTAATGGATGGTATCCTCTACAAATTTCATGTTGAAATGTAATCCTAAATGTGACATTAATACTTATGGCTTTGGGGAGGTAATTAAATCATGAAGGCTCCACCCTCACAAATGCAATTAGCTCCCTTATGGCTCAGGTTTGAAGGAACATTCTCTTACCTTTCTGCCACGTGTGGAAACAGCATTCATCTCCTCCACAGGAGGCAGCAGCACGACAACATCTTGGAAGCACAGAGCAGCCTTTGTCAGACACTGACAAAGCTAGTGCCTCGATCTGGGGCCTCCCAGCCTCCAGAACTATAGGAAAATAAATTCTGTTCTTTGTAAATTACCTATTCTAAGGTATTTTGCTATAGAAACACAAACAAACAAAGACACTGGATTGCATTAAATTTATAAATTATGGGGTACTGCTATCTTTATGAAATTGAGCCAACTTATCCAATAACATGGAATGACTTTCTATCTGTTCAAATTACTTTTGCTTATTTCAGGAATGTTTTATAGTTTTCCACCTAGAGGTTTCATATAACTAATAACTCTTGACTGAGATATTGTAAAGGATTTAGATTCTATCTAATAGATGAGAAAACTGAGAACCAAAATGACCAAGTGATGGCTTGAGATCACAGGGTTAGCACTGGGACCCTGGTCTTCTGGCTCCCATCATAGTGCTCTCTGCTGTACCACCCTGTAACACCCTAGAATTCTGTAGCAGCATCAAAAAAACTAGGAAAATTCTTGGGTATTGTCTTATTTCTGCTCATTCTTCTTGCTCTGTTCCTGAACTTTCCCAAATACTTTCCAATTTCACTAGCTTTGTGTCATGCCACTCTCCCCAGTGCACACTGACCAACCTGTCCTTGCCTCTCTGGGTTTACTGTCTTTCCCTGGAACATTCCTCCTTCCCTTCCAATTCATGAGGTTTTAGTCAGGCTGTCCGCAGTTTTATCTAGAGGCTCAACTGAGGAGAATATTCACTACCAAGCTCACTCATGTTGCTAATGGCAGGATTCAGCTCTTTGTGGGCTCTCGGACTGACACCTTCAGTTCCTTGCTGATGGCCAGAAGCCTCTCAGTTCCTTGACCGAGGCTCTCCACAGGGCAGTTTACAACATGGTAGCTGACTTCCCTCAAAGAAAGCCAGGGAGAGATGACATCTGAGACAGAAACCACAGTCCTTTTGTAACCTAATCTTAGAAGTACCATTCCATCACTTTTGCTATATGCCGTTTGTTAGGCACTAGGTTCAGCTCACACTCAAAGGAGGGGATTACATGAGGGCATAACACCAAGAGGCAGAGAAGACTTTGGGCCACCTTAAAGGCTGCACACCACACTTTTTGTTACCCTCTAGACCATATCTGGGCACCCTACTAGATGTTTTCTTTTTCTTTTTTTCTTTCAGACAGGTTCTCACTCTGTTGCCCAGACTGAAGTGTAATGGCACAATCACAGCCACTGCAGCTTCAAACTCCTGGGCTCAAGTGATCCTCCCATCTCAGCCTCCTGAGTAGCTGGGACTACAGGTGTGTGACACCACACTCAGCTAATTGTTAATTTTTTCGTACAGACAAAGTCTCCCTGTGTTGCCCAAGCTGGTTTTAAACTCCTGGGCTCAAGCAATCCTTCTGCCTCAGTCTCCCAAAGAGCTGGGATTACAGGCATAAGCCACTCTACTAGATGTTTTCTTAGCACCCAATAGATCACTTTCAATTACCCCAATTGTAATTGAACAACTAATTGTGTAATTCATGGTTCAATTTTATACTGTCTCCTCAAGAATAAAAATTCACTGGGTGTGGTGGCTCATGTCTGTAATCCCAGCACTTTGGGAGGCCAAGGTGAGAGGATCACTTGAGCCCAAGAGTTCAAGACCAGCCTGGGCTACACAGTGAGACCTCATCTCTACAAAAAAAAAAAAAAAAAAAAAAAATAGCTGGGCATGGTAGAACATGCCTGTGGTCCCAGTGTTTGACCTTTTGACTTAGCGTTTTATTTGCTGGCATACTTCTACGGTCTTGCATTCCTTCTCCCCTGATTCTTCCGTTGGGGTGGGTTGTCAGCATGTGCAACTGCCTGCCAGTGCTTGGGAGGGGAGCGTGCAGAGTGGCTTTACTGGAGTTGTACACATGCTCACTTGAGGCATTCTTCCCATTCTGGTGGAATGCCCCCAGAAGGTTATACCAGTTAAACACTGCCATTTTGCCCTTTAATGCACATGCTGGACCCCACTCACTCAATTCCTGAGATCTTATTGAGAAGCTGCCACCAGTTTCAGGTGTTTTATCTATTGGAAAACTGCCTTTCCCTAGTACTGGTTGCAACCAATTATTATATTAGAGAGGGAGCATGACAACTGCCTGACCATCACCCGATGGTTGCCTGACATTCCTGGTAAGGTGCAGGGGAAGCCCTGTCCTGCCTCACGCATGCCTGGCTAGGTACCTACTGTAACAAGGTGAGAGGATCACTTGAGCCCAGGAGGTGGAGTCAACAGTGAGCTGTGATTGCACTACTGCACTCCAGCTGGGTAACAGATTGAGACCTTGCTTCAAAAAAAAAAAAAAGAAGGATGTAATTTTCACAAACAATGGGCCCTGTGGTCTTGCCTACCACTAAACCTTTGGTCCAACCACTGTATTTATACATGGAAAACAAGATACAATTTTTGATTGAACTATAAGGTAAGCTCAGCAACCCCTGAAGAATTATTTGGCTGTTGTCACTACCTCTCACCTGTGAACCCCGAAAATCTAAGACAGGTCTCAGTTAATTTAGAAAGTTTATTTTGCCAAGGTTGAGGATGCACACTGTAACACAGCCTCAGGAGGTCCTGATGGCATGTGCCCAAGGTGGTCAGAGCACAGTTTGGTTTTACACATTTTAGGGAGACATGAGATATCAGTCAACATATATGTAAGATGAACATTGGTTCAGTCTGGAAAGGTGGGACAACTCGAAGCAGGGAGGGGTTTCCAGGTCATAGGTAGATAAGAGACAAATTGTTGTGTTATTTTAAGTTTCTGATTAGTCTCTCCACAGGAGGCAATCAGATATACATTGATCTCAATGAGTAGAAGGGTGACTTTGAAAAGAATGGGAGGCAGGTTTGCCCTAAGCAGTTCCCAGCTTGACTTTTCCCTTTAGCTTAGTGATTTGGGGGCCCAACATATTTTCCTTTCACATACCCAATCTAGGTAAAATCTATTTTATGTGTCCTTTCAACTATAAATTCAGGCTCCCAAAGGGCATAGTCTTACTCAGGTGGCAGAAAAACTGTAATTACTGCAAATGCCAAGTTTACCACATACTCATTTCTTTTTTCTTTTTTTTATATTTTAAGAGATTTATTAAAAACATTTAGTGACTGCGAAACCTCCAATTTTCTCTAGGTCTTGACATACATAAAAACGGTTGATTCACGCTGAACTTCTCCACGATAAAAAGAAACAGAGCAGAAGCACAGACCAGATTGCAGTGGGTTGAGGAGTGAATCACAGAATTACAAAAATAGGAGGGACTGCTCTTATCCTCGACAGGAGTTTTAAAATCAGTCTTTGGTTAGCAGCATTTTTAGTAACATTTTTATACCGTATAGTAACATTTTCATACCTATACTATGAATTATAAATATAGTATAATTCATATTACAGAAGAGAGTAAAAGTCACTGTCAAGATACCTTTTACAAAAAGCAATTCACAAAAGGGAAATCTGAATGCCACTTTCACAAATGAAAAATATTTGAACAGTAATGAGAGAAATAAACATCTAAACCACAGTGAATTACCATTTTATACCCATCCAATTGGCAAAAACAAATTTAAAGTTGGAAAACACCAACTATGATGATAAACAGACCAACATAACCCCTCAAACACTTGTAGTAGAGAGACAACACAGCACTGTAGCTGAAAGCACAGACTCTAGAGCCATTGTGAATGGTTTCAAGTTCTTGCTTTACTTCATAACTAGCTATGTGACTTTGGGCAACTTATGTAACATTTTGGTGCCATCTGTGAAATTCGAATGATGATAATAAATCCTACCTTGAGAGGACTAACGTGAGTATTAATGAGTTAATATAACATGCTACGTATTTGCTAGTATTATTATTATTGAAATAGAATAATGACTTTAGAAAGCAATTTGACTAGTGCTAATACAGTTGAAGCTGTGCATAGCATACAACCCAGCAATTTTACTTCTAGGTACATACCCCAAAGAAACACTTACATATGTACGTATTTTTTTTAAATCTATGGTATATTCATATAATGGAATACTAAATAGCAGTGAAAATAAATAAAGTAGTGCAGTAGTTCTCAAACTTTAACATGCACTATAAATGAAGAACTTGTTAGAACACAAATTACTGGGTCCTACCTTCAGTTTTTAATTCAATAGGTCTGTAATGGGGCTCAAGGGTTGGCATTTTCCAAATGATGCTGATACTGCTGTTCCAGGACCACACTTCTAGAATCACGGAATTGGACCTGCATTGATCAACATGGACAAATCTTACAAACAGAATGTTGTATGGAAAATGCAAGTTGCAAAAGAATACCTATGCTTTGATACCACTTATGTAAAGTTTTTAATATGAAAAATAATTTTACTACGTGTATACATATCACTTATACACATGCAGTAAAAATTTTGAATAAGATCACAAAGCTAGTCAGTTATAGGTCTAGGATGTGTACCTATGTGTAACTGTGAAATTACCTTTGCAAATTGAAACCGCCTTTGCAAAAATTCTATCAGTGAAAAAATTATAGCAGTGGGGGAGATCTGATCTAGCCAAATCCCATCTTGCCTTTAGCTTTCAGTTTGCCCTTAATTATTCCTGGGCTTAAGCCAAGATAACTTTGGGAGACATTTAGTTTAATGGTTTAATAATTATAGTTCTTCCCCAAAACTCAACTGCCTTTGTAAAGCTACTGAGAAACCACCAGACTAGGGGGATAAATGAGCCTGAATTCTGTTAAGGTGTAGACATAAATGATTTCCAGCCATTATTCCAGAGGTCACAAGATATGCAGCTTCTCCAATTACTCCTGCAGATAACAACACTATTGTAGATTCTAAGATTGGCCTTTTGAGGTATCTTTTTAAGTTTCTTGCATGTTTAACTACCCCGATAGCTCCACCTAGACCCACCAACTGTTCCCGTGGCTCCACCCAGAAACAACTCAGTAGGCAGGAGGACCATCTCCTATACCCTCAATCAGTCAGCAGCAAGCACCCATTGCCTAGCCACCCCTACCCCTTTCCCCAAACTACCTTTGAAAAAAACCCTAGCCCCCAAATGCTCCAGGAAGCCAATCTGAATAACAATAAAACTGATATGAGTAATAATAAAATCTCTTCCATTTTTCCACTCAGTGTTGTGTAAAAACTCTTGCTCTATTGCAATTCCTATACCTTGATAAATCAGCTGTAGCCAGGAAGCAGGCAAGAATAATCTATTGGGCCATTACATCTGGATCTAAAGGCCATGGGTTTTCCACTACAAGCTAATTAACAAGAGGTATCCTTTCCCCTCAGAAACAACTGGACAAACCTCTATAGAGTCTATGTAAAGAACAACTAAAGAAAATCTGGTTATTACTTAGCCTAGTATACTTATCAGGAAATCAGCAAGTCTTTCTCTGATGTTCCTGAAATTGTAATCCCCACCTTACATTTCTATCACTTGTTTTCTAAATATTAATATACAGTAAAAATCAGCTGGCTGTGTGCTATGGAAAAATCTGGAGGAAAAGATAACTTGAAAAATACACTTTTTTGACTCTGCTTGCTACTGAAAAAAAAATTTTTAAGAAAATATGCTCTTCCCTTCCTAAAATTAAAGTGAATCCACAGAAGATGTGTTTGGTGAAGTGTCTGGTGCTGAATACAAAGTAGAAAGGGCAAACTGACACAGCCTTAGAGCCTGGATAAAAACCCTTGTCTTGAAAGCTCAATTGTGGGAAATCTGGAGGGTCAGATCTATCTCTGATCTGTCTATGTATCTTCTGCACCTTGCACATAGTAGGGGCCTGACAGATAAATTATGCCAACCCATGCGTGCATGCAATAATCCAATCCACAATTAGGAACATTGTGCCAAAAGGGGACCCACCTACTACAAAGAAAAAATTCCTAGCTTTCTGTGACTACTCCAGTCTTTCTACTGCCTTTGCTGACGAAAACAAAGAAGAGAGGGCTTCAGTATTCAAATACTGCCAGTTCCTCAGTGAACTCAAAAAATGCTTACTCTCGAAATGCAAGGAACCCCCATGAGGATAAACAACCTGTGAGGTTACCTGAATTCCCTAGCAAAGGACGCGACTACTTCCGGAGCCGCACCGGAACCCCTTGGCGGACTGTGTGGGTTCCTGCGGGAACGATTTAGGAATAGGACTACTTCCTGCTTCTGGACATGGGCGGGTGAAGGGAAAGGAAATAGCTTTAAGAGCGGCATTTTGCCTGCGCTAACAGCAGTAGAGGAGGAGGCAGAGAGGAGTGGCGGGCGGAGTAGACGGTGGAGGCTGCGGCAGAGAACAAAGTGTCAAAGCCGGTAAGTGAGCCAGCCGCCTTAGAGCGGGGAACAGCGCATAGCGCTCCAGGGCTCGCTTTGCAAATATGTGGTCCCAAGTTGCTGAGCTGCCCCACGGGGTCAGGGCCGTGCTCCGTCGGTCGCTTGTCAGACGGCGCTGGGAAGAGGCTGTTGGGGTGCCGGGGCAGGGCGTCGCGGAGCTCCGGAGTGCGCTCTCGCAGGCTGACAGCCTATCTCGTAGCCAGAGGAGGCCCTGGGCAGTGTCCTGCCTGGTAGTGCTGGGGTTCCGCACCCTGGACAGCTTCCCCAGACAGTGTTTGGAATTCAGGGAAGGAAGAAAGTAATGTGCGCCCCCATTTAACCCTTGGGACCTGGCGAAATCTGCTACGTGGGTAGTGAACATTGTTTCGGGGACCGAAGGATATGCTTGTAAAGAGTGTTAGTCTGGAGCCATACTTTCCCTGCCCTGTTCAAGCTCCCTGGGCTGTCGGAAGCGGAGTTGTTTGTTTGTAAAGGCGAATGCTGACGCCTCCTGCTCCTGTCACTTCGGGACAAGTTAACAACCTTCAGATCCGTTGTTAAAGCAGCGTGTTCCATATGTGATCTATCAGGTTAGTACTGCTGTGGGTATCTGGTGATTGCTCTGTAAATTTACTTGATGGCGAGATCACAGTTAAATATGTCCAAACACTTTTTGAAGAGAAGCAATACTGATCTAACAGTCAGGACTGTTTAGCATACTTTCCCTTACCTTTACATTTAATCGTTTTAGCATGCACAGTAAGGATGGTAATCTTAAATGTATTAGATTAAGTTACTGTGCAATCTGCAAAAGGCCTGTGGTATAATAGGATAGGAAACTTTTGTAACTGACGAAGTGAGTGAAATGATTATATAAAGATTGTTACTGTAAAGATCAGAAATCACTTTTATTAATTTCCTGCTTTTCTGTTGTCTTAGGTTCGGCTTTAAAGTGTGGTGAAGGGTACTTTTCATGGTGCATGGAAGGAAAGCCAATGCGCAGGTAGGCATTTAGAAAGAAAATCTTTGGTTTCACTCATTAAAATTCATCATGTAATAATTTAAATTTTTAAAAAGGCGTTTCAATTGTAATAAATTCTGCTTGCAACTAATGAGTCTTGTTCTAAAATAAATCAAAAGTAATATTAAGAATTAATAGCTTTCTAATAGAGTAAAATATAGAAGTTAAATTTCTGAAAAGTGCTGTGGATTGTATATACTGTTAAACACAATTTTCCTTTTTTCAAGTTTTTTTTACAGTAAATCATTAAGTGCACTATGATACTATGTGGATTTATTATAATCTTCAGTCCCCTATAAAATGTAGAGAATTCTGTTGCCATATAAGAATCATAATTATTTATAATACAGTGTACTGCATGCCTAATTATGGTTTTGGTTATTTCCTTAATGTTCAATAATAATAAAGCCTACTCACATTTGTTCTGTTAATTAAAATAGCTGCATTGCAGGAAAGATTGTATAAGAACTAAAAAAGGTATTAGACATAATAACTTAGTCCATAGAAAAATAGAAACAATGTCTGGGAAAATATAGACAATTAAATATGCCCTTCCAACCCTAGAATTTAATAATGCTCTTTCTCAATATGTTCTATCAAATGAGACTAGAATCTTTATTGATGCAAAATCAGCCCAGTTCTTTTTTTTGGTTTTTAAATTTGTTTTCTATTTATTTAACTCTATTTAATCATTTGTTATTTAACATCAAAGATAAACAACTTTGGCAGTTCTTTTAAGAGAAGAAACATTTTATAATGGGAATATGACTTATAACTCAGAACTTGGAGCAAGAATCAGAATGTATATCTTTTTCCAAATCTGTTATTTATCAGTTGACATTGAACCGTTCATCTTCTCTGTACCCCAGTTTACCTCTTTAGTGTATCTGATCAGGATATTGGGGATTAATGAACATTTGCAAATGCTTTAAGATCTCTAGATGAAAAGATGTTATCAAGATGAAAAATACGTTATCTTTTTTATATTTTACTCTATAATAGGAATATTTTACCACAATGTACATGAAAAAATTAACAACATATATTAAGTGCTTCATCAATTCAATTCTAACATTATTGCAAAAGATGAGATTGCGTCTCATCTCCAGCTACCATAAAATGTCATATCTTATGTAATTGCTAAAATAAGAGCTTATTATTTTTTAAAAGAATGGCAGTGTGGGAATGTTTTTGGTTTATCAGTAGTTTCTATATAAAATATTAGCTTAATCATTCATACCTGCTCTTTTTTTCTTCCTTTATTACATAATACTGTCAGCTATTCAAAATCATATTGGATAATTCTAATGCCATTAATTGTTAAGTTACAGCTCTTTCTTCATCACTATCAGTTGGCCAGAGCCTAGACTACTCACATTGATCTCTGATCTTTCACCTGCTTCCTACATTCAATTGTGGTCACACCTTCCTATCCTTTTCTTATTGGGCTGTCATTTTTGCTGATGCAACCCAGAAGGCAGTCTCTGTAATATTGGGTTTATACTCAGCTGCTACTAAAGAAGTTTTGAGTGAGAAGTAACTTTTTCTACTGAGATTATTTGAATACATGTTCATTCTGCCTACTAGATTGTGAGCTCTTTGAGTCTGATGTCTTCATATATTTGCATCACTAGCACCTAATGATTACTGAATAATTGTTTGAATAGGACTGAACAATTTCTACAGACTTTCCCAATCCAAAAAAAAATATCTATGAACAAGAAGAGACTGAAAATTTTTGTTAAAGGTATTCTAATTTCTTGATTATAAAGTTTTATGAAATCAATTGGCATTTTATTAGTAAAGTTTCATTACATCATTTATTTATTATCATTTGCATACACAAGGCAAAATTTAAAAGGTACAATAGGATATTTAGTAAAAAGTTAAGTCTCCCAGTGCTGTCCCCAGTTCCCAGTTCTCTCCAAAGGCAACCACTGTAAGCAGGTTCTTATGTGTTCTTTCAGAGCCATTGTAGTTCATACACAAATATATATATAAGATGTCTTCTCTTTTTATTTTTTTAATTTTTATTTTATAGAGATAGGGTTTTGCCGTGTTACCCAGGCTGGTCTCAAACTCCTGGGCTCAAGCAGTCCACCTGCCTCAGCCTCCCAAAGTGCTGGGATTACGGACATGAGCCACTATACCTGGCCAACGTTAGTGGCTTTTAAAAAGAAAAGATGGCTGAGCACATGTCTAAGTTATTAGACATAATAACTTAGTCCATAGAAAAATAGAAACAATGTCTGGGAAAATATAGACAATTAAATAGGCCCTTCCAACCCTAGAGTTTAATAATGCTCTTTCTCAATATGTTGTAATCCCAGCACTTTGGGAGGCTAAGATGGACAGATCCCTTGAGTCCAGGAGTTCAAGACCAGGCCAGCCTGGGCAATATGACAAAACCCCATCTCGCCGGGTGCAGTGGCTCAAGCCTGTAATCCCAGCACTTTGGGAGGCCGAGGCGGGTGGATCACGAGGTCAAGAGATCGAGACCATCCTGATCAACATAGTGAAACCCCGTCTCTACTAAAAAATACAAAAAATCAGCCGGGCATGGTGGCGCTTGCCTGTAATCCCATCTACTCAGGAGGCTGAGGCAGGAGAATTGCCTGAACCCAGGAGGCGGAGGTTGCGGTGAGCTGAGATCGCGCCATTGCACTCCAGCCTGGGTAACAAGAGCG